TTTAGTGTGGAGTCTTTAGGGTTTTCTACATGTAAGATTATCTCATTTATAGACAGTTTCACTTCTTCCTTTCTGATTTGGATTCCTTTTATTTTTTTCTCATAATTGCTCAGGCTTGGATTTCCACTACTATATATTTTTTCAAGTATAGTATATGACCTTCAATCCATTACTATATTGAATAGAAATAGTAAGAGTGGGCATCCTTGCCTTGTGCCTGATCTTAGAAAAAAAGTATTCAGTTCTTCACTCTTGAGTATAATGTTAGCTGTACATTTTTCATATATGGCTCTTATTATATTAAGGCAATTTTATTCTATTTATAGTTTGTTGAGAGTTTTTAATCATAAAAAATGTTGCATTTTGTCAAATAGTTTTTCTGCATCTATTGAGATGATGTGACTTTTGTAATTTAATCTGTTAATGTAATATATCACATTAACTGATTTGATTTTCATTTATTGAACAATCCTTGCATCTCAGGGAGAAATCCCACTTGATCATAGTGTGTTATCCTTTAAATGTTTGGTAGAATTCACCGATGAAGCCATCTGGTCCCAGGCTTTTTGTTGTTGGAAAAGGTTTTGAATTACTGATTTAATTTCCTTATTGTAGGTCTGTTTAGATTTTCTATGTCTTTGTAATTTTTAGTAGTTTGTATGCTTCTAGCAATTTATTCATTTTTTCTAAGCCAATTTGTCAGCACATAATTGTTCATAGTTGTCTGTTAGGATTCTTTGAGGATTTCTTGCATTTCTATGGTATCAGTTCCAAGTCTCTTCATTTCTTATTTTATTTTTTTGTAATTTATCTCTTTTTTTGTCTACCTAGTGATTTGCACACTTATTTTTCAAAAAGCCAAGTCTTCACTTCATTGATTTTTTTCTATTTTTGTAGCCTCTATTTCAGTATTTCTGATCTAATATTTATTATATCTTTCCTTCTGCTAACTTTGGGTTTGTTACTTTTCTAGTTCTTTTAGGTATAAAGTTAGTTTTTTTTTATTTAAGATTGTACAAACTTCCCTCTTAATATTAATGTATCCCATAAGTTTTGATATGTTGTGCTTTTGTTTTCATTTATCTCAAGATATTTTCTAACTTTCAATTTTTTCTTTGACCCATCTGTTGGTCGATGTGCTATTTAACTTCCACATATTTATGAATTTTCTAGTTTTCTTTCTGCTATCGATTTATATTTTCATTCCTCATGGTCAGAAAGATGCTTGGTATGATTTCAATCTTCTTAAATTTGTTAGGACTCGTTTTGTGGCCTAACATGTGATCTACCCTGGAGAATGTTCCATGTGCTCTTGAGAAGAAAATATATTCTGCTGCTGTTGATGGAATTTCCAGTGACTCGTCTTCAAGTTCCCTAATCCTTTCTTCTGCTTGATTTAGTCTGCTATTGAATCCTCATAGTAAATTTTTCAGTTATTATAGTCTTCAGTTCTATAATTTCTATTTGGTACTTTTTCATATTTTCTATCTCTTTGATGAAACTTTCGCTTTGCTCATGCATTATTCGCCTGACTTTGTTGAGCATATTTAAGTGGTTATTTTTAATTCGCTATCAAGTAAATCATTTATACCCATTCCATTAAGGTCAGTTTCTGGCGATTTATTTTCTTCCTTTGTCAGGAACATATTTCCCTGTTTCTTCACTTTCCCTGAGTCTTCGGATTGCTGCCTGCACATTAGACAAAACAAGTACCTTTCTTAGTCTTCAGGGACTGTTCATATATATGAGAAGATCCTCACCAATTAGCCTGGGAGAGTTTCTGAGGACCTCCCGAACCTCCAAGCTTGTTTGAATTGCTGTTTTTCTTCACAGCGGCCCCAAACCCAGGTACCATCCGGGTATGCTGAGACAGGAGACACAGAGGCCAATACCCTGAGAAGCACCCATAGAAATCAGAGCATTGGACATAGGGTCCTATCCTTTTCTTCCCTCGCTAGGCAAATCAGGGAACTGGGGGTTTACTCCTAATCCTATGGTGCCATACCAGGTGTAAGGCTTTTGGAGAGAATTTCAAATATTCCTACCAGCTTTGATGTGGCTGGCTATGCAATCACTTGGGGATTGCAGGAGCCTTTCAACTAGTTTCTGGGTTTCTCACAAAGGGAATTTTTCTGTGTATTGTTTTTGAATCAGTGTGTCTGTAAGGGAAAGGAGGGTCCAGGGATTCCTACTCTGCCATCTTTCTGACATTCCTCTAACTATTAACGATTTTGTTTCACTTAACCTTCACAAGAAACTTAAATGCTTCTATTATTGCAATTCCATAATTTATACACTATGAACTGAACCTCAAATCAGTTAAAAAGAAAAGTTTCCCAAGGCTACACAACTAGCTGGTCCAGTGGCAAAACCACAATAATGAACCAGATCTATTTCATTCCAAAGTCCATGCTCATAAACATTAACATATGCAGTCATATACAGTTCTCTTTCATGGTAATATGTAGTTCCTTTTCAGTTTTTCAAAGACAACCTATGAAGGATACAAAAAATACTATAAACTGATTATATATTATATATAGATTAAATTATCACATATACTGCCCCCCTCCCAAAAAATACAGAGCTAGGAAGTCATGTCAAAAATGAAGAGTTAGATAATTTTGAATTTAAAAGTTCAAATTATAGATTTGGGTCAAATTATAAGGAGCTAAAAATGATCAGTTCAGGACCATAAGAATTAATTCAACAAAAGCAAATAGACAAATTGGGAAATGGGAGTATTTGCATCAAAAATGAAAATATTAGAACTGTTTATGAACATTAATCAGCAAGTTGTCTGAAGGATTGCCAAGAAGGATTAAAGAGGAAGTGGTAGAGAAAAATTATTTGGAAAGCTGTTGTAAAATGGATGCTGCTTCTCTTTTTCAGTAAACATAAATTGAGCACCTAAAATGAGCAAGTTTCTTAGTTAAAGGCTCTGAATATAATTAGTCCCTTAGTTCCTCCATTCCTCTATAAATTTGAAGTATTACAGTCTAAGAAAAATAAGAGCCTCACATTCTCATTCACAGCATCCATCAGGGGTGTAGAATGTAGTAGTCTCTGTGACTTTGTGCTCATTACCACAGTGTGATATTTGGAGAACCCTCCTGAACAAAAGCTTTACTCCCAATGCAGTAGTTATCTCAGAAAAAAGAATTTTCCCTATCACCCAGTAGTAACATAGTTTTACCAGTGCATAAAGAAAGCTTACTCAAGACTTTTAATCTGTGGAATTTTCAATGAGAGGTTATTCATGCTAAATGCTTTCCTTTCTCCTTCTGTAGACGAGTAGAACCCAAGAGAAACAAAACAGGCTGAAAAACAGGAGACATGTGAATTCACCTCCACGAGCATCATCTTCACTTCAGCATGGAACTTCCTCATCGAGGAGTCAGATTCCCACTCAGCTAAAGCCATCTTCTCAACAAGGATCTAGAGGCCATCAGGCCCGTTTAAATCCCTCTGGCCCAAAGAAATCTGCAAACATAAAATCTAGTCAAAGCTCTACTGTACAACAAAGTAGACAACGACCCCCAAATTATCTGTATTTACCAGTTAAACCAAGATCTAGCACTACCAGAACTGATGCAAGTAAAAATGATCAGAAGTCAATTAGAAGTAGTAAATCCCTCACAGGTAACTACATTAGTCCAAAATTAGATCAATCCAAATTTCCTTCCTCTCAAAAGGACATTAAACCCAAAAGTAAACCAAACTTAAGGAAGCCAAAAATATCTAGCCAATCAAAATCTCAGTCAAAAACATCTGAACAAAATAAATCGAGAAAAGATCAGCATGTTATTAAGAGAAATTACCTAAATAGGACTACAAAACAAACATTAGGTACACAGAAATCATCTGCTAAATCAAAACTTCAAAGAAAAAAAACCATAAAGCAACAAGCCAATAGTCAAATAAAAACTCCCACACAAAAACAAGCTAACCAAAAACGAAATAATTTTAATAATTCTCAAACAAAACAAACTCCATTATCAAAGGTTAAGGTAAAATCTGGTGGACAAAACAAAACTAAAGAGAAAAAACAACAAACAAGTAAGCTGAGATCTAAAAATTCCAGGCCTAGCAATCTTCGTTTTGGCCAATCAAAACTGAATCAGGTATCTCTTGCACAAAAAAGAGGCCACCAACACCAAAATAATACAAAAATTTCCAAAACCCATTCAGTTAGAACACCTAAAAAATTACCAAAGAAATCTAAGTCTCCCACAAGTACTGTTAGTCAACAGAAGGCAAGCCAAACCAAAACATCTTCATCTTCAAACCCTAAAAAAAATGATCTCCAACAAGCAAAGCCACAGATATTACGCCAGCAGAAAATATCCGGCCAACCAAAACTTAAGAACACAATTACTAAACAGCAACCACATCAAGTAAAAAAAGTTATAAAAAAGAGGAGACGCTCTAAACCAAAAACAGAAGGAAATGAACAAAAAAGATCAGTGATAGCCAAGCGTGGACCTCACCCATCTGGTCAACCAAATCCTCAGCAAAGATCTTCTGCACCACAGAGTAGCCAACAAATCCAAAGCCCCAAAAATCCAACAGTTTACAAAAAACCTAGGACAAGCAAGTTTCGCCAAAGTAAAACTGCTAAAAAATCTCCAAGGAAATCTCAAACCCAGTCTAGTTCCAATGTTCAGCAGAACCTAAAACAGTCCAAGCTATCTTCAACTAGTAAAAGAAATGGCAAACGCCGAGTTAAACTGCGACAAATAGCTGATCAATCCAAACTTCATAAAAATATTACTGTTAGGCAACAATCGAGTCAAACAAAATCTCTAGTACAAAAGCAAACTAACCAGATCAAAGGAAAAACTGTGAAAAAGATTCAAAGAACATCTAAGCCTCACTTAAGAAGGAAAGTTCAACAAAATCCAAAAAGACCCACTCCACCTGCAGTTTTAATTGGTAGGAGAAATGGTCAGCCCCAAACTAAGCCACAACCATTAGGTCCACGGAAAACATCTATCCTATCAAAACCTCATAATAATACAACCAAAAAACAGCAAGTCAGTCAAACAAAGACTCCCACACAAAAACAAATTAGCCGAAGGAAATACCATCTAAATCCTACTAAAAAATCTGCGAAGTCAGTACCCACTGCAAATAGACCAAACAAAACCAAAAAAGGAATAGAGCAACCTGGTAAACAGAGAACTGTGCATAGATATCACCCATCTGGTAAATCAAGACCTCTTCAAAAATCTCCTGAGCAACAAAACTCCCACCAACGCCCAAGTCCTAGGGATTCACCAGCTCCTAAAAAACGTAGAATTGTGAAATATCATCCAGGCAAAACCACTAAAAATTTAACAAGGAAACCTAAACCTCATTTTGGCACCAAATTTCAACAAAAACCAAAAGCACCCAAACTACCTTCAATTCCAAATGGTCCAAGAAAAGGTCAACGTAAAACTAAGCCACAACCATTAGCTCCAAAGAAAACACCTGGCCCAGCAAAACCTCATAAAAAACCAACCATAAAGCAACAAACAAGTCAAGCAAAGACTGGTCCAAATGTTCCCAAACGTCAACAGACTGGGCCCTCAAAACCTCCTTTGAATAAACCAATAAGGAAACAATCTATCCAAAGAAAACCTAAGGCAAAAACAAGAAAACCAAAGAAAATCAAAAGGGTAAGGCGTCCTAGTCTTCACAGACTTCCTCAGAATCATCCGCCTGGCCAACGAAAACCGGGATCAAAGATACCTTCACCCAGTCATCCTGCTGTACAAAACCAATTTGGTAATCTACCTTATCGCCGTCCACATACACCTATCTGGCGCCCTGATTCACAAAAACCTTGTGTAAAGCAACCTGGTAAAAAGCAACCACCTTGCTCACGCAGACCTCTTAGAAAGCCATCATTGAGACCTAAACCTGGCTCTCAGCATCATCGTCCAGAGGTACGGCCTCCCATACGTCCTGGGAAGTTGCCAACAAATCCTACTCCAACAACCACTGAAACTTTATCTTCAGGACCTTTGTCATCGACCACTAAACCTTCTACAACCATTAAATCTGCATCAACTACCAGAAAGCCCACCACAAGCTCAGTGGCTTCTACCATCAAATCTTCTTCCACAACTACAACCACAAAATCCACTGTTTCTACCAAATCTGTGGTTAATACCCCTAAATCCTCCACAACTCCAAAGGCTCCTACTACCAAATCTTCCACCACTAAGAAACCTGCCACAACTATAACTGCAGCCACTACCACAACCACGGCTGTGACCTCCACCACCAAATCTACCACCGCTTTTAAACCTACTACCTTCACAACCAAATCTACCTCAACTATAAAACCTGTGATTTCTACTACAAAATTGACCACCTCTATCAAGCCTCAAGTGCCTACCACCAAACTTCCTACCACTGTCAGTTCTGTAGCTGGCACCAGTTCATCTGCCCCTGCATCTCTCAAACCAACTGAAATTACTAATTTCTCTTACACGATCCCTGTTACTACAAAATCCACCCCAGTTTCCCAGTCTGTGGTGAAAACCACTGAATCCTTTTCTACTACCACCGAAGTGGCTGAATCTACCAGCTCAGTATCCGTCACCACTAAAACAACTCCTGCTTCTACTTTCTCAACAAGTGTGACAAAAACTACATCACCTATCACCACAGAAGCAGCTTCCGAGTCTACACTAACCACCACTACACCCACGACTACCACCACATCCACTGTCAGTCCAGTCATCCTGTCTTCACTCACTGCTACAAATCCAGCTGGAAGTACCCTAAAAGCTGTGGCTACTACAAAGACATCAGCCATAACCACAGCTCTTCTCTCTACAGCACCAGCAAGAAACACGCCTGCTACCACCACAGCTGCCTCAACCACCCCTGCTCCTGGGGCTGCCCCCAGCACAGTGCGTCTCTTTACCACATCCGTCGCTTCAACCACTCCTGCTCCCTCTACTTCTCCCTCAACGACTTCTATATCCATCACCAAATCTGCTCTCTCTACCACATCTGCTGCCACCACTACCACTGCCATAGGCACTGAAGCTCCTCCTGCCACAGAACAGACTTCCATTAGCACCTCTGCTGCCACTCCATCTACCTCTACATTTGCAGCGACATCCAGCTCTACCTCTACTGCATCAAAGGCCAGTAACGCTAACTCCGCCACTGTGGCCACAGCTACCGTGAAAATAACTACTTCTCCTGCTACAACCGAGGAAGATGCCACCACTTCTGCTGCCCTTAGCACAGCCGTATCCACAGTGATCGTCCCCAAAACCACCACAGAGCTTACTTCCTCCTCTACCGCCACCTCTGTGGGACTTTCTTTGACTACCAACGCAAACACCACAGCTTCGCTCACTGACACAGTGGACACGACCCTGGTCACTGAAGTTGACACGTCAACATCTTACTCTAGCCCACTTGATGACACTACATTTGATTATGAATTGGACACTACTGAGTTCACCTCTACTGCCTCCTATACATCACTTGCCACCACACAGTTCCCCACCTCCATAGATGTTCCCTCTGCTGCCACCAGTACAGCCCCGGCCACCTCAACCCTTTCTTCTTCCTCAGCCACCACCCAGTCTGTCTCCACTGCTCTCCCCACGGCCTCCACCCCTGCTGCCACCAGCACAGCCCCGGCCACCTCAACCCTTTCTTCTTCCTCAGCCACCGCACAGTCTGTCTCCACCGCTCTCCCCACAGCCTCCACCCCTGCTGCCGCCAGCACTTTATCAGCTTCCTCCGCATCTTCCAGCCCTTCCCAAGCCTCCATCACAACATCTCCTGCCCCGAGCTCACCAGTAGCCACTGTGACTACCAAGGAAACAACCATAAATCCTCTTTCCACCACTACGTCTGACTCCTCTGCTCCTTATTCCAGTACTGAAGAAGACACCACAACTGCTCCCACTGACACCACACCAGACACACTGGCCACCACAGATGACACGATGACCTTGGACTCTAGCACGTTGGATGACACTACCATTGTCTATGACGAGGACACTAGCACTGCTGCCTCTGTCACCACTTCAGAGCCCGAGCCCACCACTGATGGTGCCTACAGCTCACCCGCTGCCACTACCACAGCTGCTCCAACCACCACTGCATCTCTGGCCACAACGGCTGCTGAGGCCACTAATATATCTGTTTCTTCCACCACACTTGGAGCATCTCCAGCAGCATCCACAAGTACATCTGCGGCCACTAACACCCCTGCCGGGACCACAGAGGGTGCTTCCACATCAACCTCTACCACAACCACCACATCTGCCTCTGCCTCTACTTCCTCTGGCACCTCCCACACCTCACCTCCTGCCACAACCATTTTTGCCTCATCTATTACAGCCAGGATCTTAACGTCTTCTGCTGCCACCAGTACCTCATTTGCTACCACGAAAACGTCTGCTCTCTCTTCCACCACTCCGCCTGATGCCACCACACCTGTCTCCGCCACTCTCCCCACAGCCTCCTCCACATCACCTACCACAGAACCTGTCACCTCCACAGCTGAGGTCTCCTCGTCCTCCAATCCCACAAATACTTCTGCCCCTCCCAGCTCGGCACCGACTGCCACTACCATGGCTCCTCCCTCCAGCTCATCTGTCGCAGCCACCAGCACAGCCCCGGCCACCTCAACCCTTTCTTCTTCCTCAGCCACCACCCAGTCCGTCTCCACCACATCTGCTGCCACATCTGTCCCTACCACAGCTACTCCTACAGCCACCACTGCCACAACAGAGGTAGCTGCCACCACAGCTAGTCTCTTTTCTACATCAGCTGCCACTACATTTTCCCCCACCACTGAGGAATCTTCCCCAGCATCTACAGATGCTACTGACACCGCCACAGCCACTACAGCCAGTCCTACCACACCGGTCTCCACAGCCGCTGCTGCCACTTCCACAGGTACGCAGACTGGCACTACCACAGCTGCGCTCACCACATCTGCCGTAGACAATACCACACCTACAGCCACAGCAACCTCAGCTCTCCTGTCCGCCACATCTGTCACCTCAATCACAGCTGTTAGTTCTTCATCGGCAGCCCCCACACCTGCTACCACTACAGCTGCAACCACAACGGCCCCCTACACCACTTTAGCTGATGCGCCCAGCACACCTGTTGTCAAAGAGGTCACCTCTGACACCCCCACGACTCCAATACCCACCACCATAGTTGATTCCTCCACATTTGACGACACTACCCCTCTTGACACGACCAACACTGACTTCACAGCTGATGACACTTCAACACCTAGTGATACCACATTTGATGAGAGTGATGCCACCACTGAGGGTGACACAGAGTCACCCACATCAGATGCTTCTACAGATGAAATTTAGAGTCAAGCTAGAGAAAAACGATCTTCTAGAGCCTATCTACCACAGAGCATGAAGTACGTGGGTGGGACTTCTGAACCAAATATAACCTGAGGCCAAAATCTTATACCTTCTATGCTTTCTTACCAACATGCTGAATTTTATTGGAGCTAAAAATATTTTCATTTCTATTCTTAATATAAAAAGAAACTTTAAATAGCATAGGTGTATTTCCTTTCAGCACACAAACTAGAAGTATCATTTCTGTTACCTATGAAATTATAAAGACTTGTCTTTAAGCATCATGATGACTTTTTCTAAAACCTATGCCCAAAAGAAAAATTTAAAGAAATTACACCAAAATGTGTTTGCTTTGGTGAATAAATTATGTATGGCTTCAGTACTGCGATAGAATGAAATCAAATTGTGACCACAGGAATCCCTTTATCCTCCCGTTCAACACCTCTCCCTAAACTTCCCCAACTTTCCATGTCACCCAGAAAATGCACTCTGGACTTGGTGGACTACACACATACAATATAAATCTTTGGTAAATATGAATTAGAAAGTAATCTAAGGTAACCACAAGGAAGACAATTTATGAAGAAAATTTAACATACTATTACTTACCATTGGTAGTCGCCACTAAGAGAGTTTTAATTAGAAGAATCTTTATCTATTAAAGATCCAATAGCAATTTATAAATGAATCAAAAACATCCAGCATCATTTTCTGAAAAAGCAATACGACTAGAGGAAACAGAATGCATGCAATCTGAGCTCCCATTCACATGAGACTGGACATAAACTTGCACATGGCTTTTACCCAGCATTCATTTGTGTAATGAGATTTACATTAACAAAATGTTGTCTAGAAAGGGTAAGCTGGAAGCAATAAAAATTAAACGAAAATGAAAGCTAATGC